CTGGTAAGGGGACCCATTTCCTCCACAGGACTGATACGCCTAGACTCTTTACTCCTCAGGGAAAGGGTCTGGCTGTGTCGATTTTCTCCTTGTAGACTGCTCCCAGGGGCAAATACCCTGACTTAATGCTTTTTTCCATCCTACCTGGTTATGTGAAGATCTTTCTTGCAGCTTTAGTTGCAAGCCTTTGTTGACTAGTTAGTTTTTATGAGAATTGTTTCACATGTATGTCTATTTTTGATGTGTTTGTGGGGAAATGTGAGTGCCACATCCTCCTACCCTGCCATCTCGATATCCCAATTGAATTTTGTTGTTGATGTTCAGTTGCTCAGTTGTGTCTGACTCTGCAGCCCCACAGACTATAGCACACCAACCTCCTCTGTCCTGCACTATTTCCTGGAGTTTGCTCAAGTTCATGTTCATTGACTTGGTGATGCTATCTAACCATCCCATCCTCGGCTTCCCCCTTCTTTTGCCTTCAATCTTTCCCACCATCAGGGTCTTTTCCAATGAGTTGGCACTTCACATCAAGGAGCCAAAATATTGGAGCTTCAAACATTTGAATTTACTACATTTTAAATCATAAAAAGGATAATGCTAATAATAATGCTTGACTGATTCACTGTAAATTTTTGTTTTCTTACTTCCTCAGACTTATGGGGGCTTGAGTCTGCTGTTATATCTATGTGAACAAATGTACAAACACCACAAAACTGTTCTCATAATCTTTCTCTATATAATTACTTTTAAGAGTTGCATTTACTATGTATTCCTTAAGATTTTGCTGTGTGGGAAAAAACCATGGAGATTTCTCAAAAAGTGAAAAAAAAAACTACCATACATGATCCAGCAATCTCATTTCTGGGTATTTATTAAAAAGAATTGAAATCAGGATCTCAGAGGAACACCTGTATTCCCATGATCCCTGCAGCATTATTCACAATAGGCAAGGTATGAAAACAACCTAAGTGTCCACCTACAAATGAATAAAGAAAAAATAAATGTATATACAATGGAATATAATTCAACTTTAAAAACGGAAGTAAATCCTATCTTTTGTGACAGCATGAATGGATGGACCTAGAGGACATTATACTAAGTAATATAAAACAGACACAGAACAACAAACACTGTATGATCTCACTTGTATCATGGAATCTAAAATGGTCAAATTCTTAACAGCAGAGAGTAGAATTGTGGTTGCCAGAGCTGATGAGTGGAGGAGGGGAAAAGAGGGAGTTGACATTCAGTTTATCCAAAATTTTGGTTTATGCAAGATAAATAAATTTTGAACATCAACTATACAGCATAGTGCCTACATATAACCATATTGCATACTTAATATTTACTAAGAGGATGGCTCTCAGATTATGCATCTTTACCACAAAAATAAAAAATAATAAAAGGGATGGGAGGAAATTATGGGAGCGATGGGTATGTCTATGGCTTTGGTGGTGATAGTTTCATATGTGTAGATTCCAGGAATATTCCACATTCCTGATTTATCACCAGCCATGGAAAATATGATAAGCATTGCAGCGAAGAATAAGCTACATATTCCCCCAATGTGTAACAAAAATCTTAATGTGAAAATCACCTTCCAAGTACTAGCTCCTTCTCCTTCTTCTCCTAGGTTTAAAGATCTACTTACTGAAATGACAGACAGACAGGAAGAGCTGGGTATTGCTAGTTTTGGTATCTCCATCACTACCATGGAAGAGGTTTTCATTAAGTAAGTAATGATACATGGGAGCAAGAGAGCAGAAAAAAAATTTTTTTCTTTAAAATCAGATTTCATTTTGAAAGCAAGACCCATCATGTGTGGAGCTAAAATAATTGAAGTAGTAATGGATTGTTAGCTATGATTATCTTCTATGAATCGTGAACATATCAGTTTACGTACCTTGCTCGCCTTATGCGCTAAGGCTGCTGTGACTCATGGAACTAGAGTGAGAATATCAGTTCAGAGAGTTAGGAGGCAGGATACTCAATGCAAAAAATGAGACTATGAAACTGCACAAAAAACTAAATCCAGGTGCTGAATACCCAGAGCAGAGGAATATTTCATAAGAAGATTATTTGAAACTTTGGGATTACAATTGAATGTCTGTGTATTTTGTGGGTAGAATTGTTAGTACTGGCCTAGAACAAAGAGAGAAGACAGAAGAAGCAAGAACTGCAGTCTCATGGCTTCCCGAATGAAAACCACAATCACAGAAAACTAACAAAAATGACCACATGGATTTTTGATCATAGGGGACTGAAATGTAAAAACAGGAATTCAAGAAGTACCTGGAGTAACAAGCAAGTTTGGCCTTGGAGTACAAAATGAAGTAGGGCAAAGGCTAACAGAATTTTGCCAAAAGAACAAACTGGTCACAGCAAACACTCTCTTCCAACAACACAAGAGATGACTCCACACATGGATATCACCAGGTGGCTAATATTGAAATCAGATGGATTATCTACTTTGCAGCAGAAGATGGAGAAATTATATACAGTCAGCAAAACTAAGACTGGGAGCTGACTCTGGCTCATATCATTATTGCAAAATTCAAGCTTAAATTGAAGAAAGTATAGAAAAACAAAGACTGTTCAGGTATGACTTAAATCAAATCACTTATGATTACAGTGAAGGTGACAAATAGATTCAAGGGATTAGATCTAGTAGGCAGAGTACCTGAAGAACAATGGACGGAGGTTTGTGACACTGTACAGCAGGAGATGACCAAAACCACCCCAAAGAAAAAGAAATGCAAGAAAGCAAAGTGGTTTTCTGAGGAGGGCTTATCAATAGCTGAGAAAAGAATAGAAATGAAAGACAAAGGATATAGGGAAAGACACCTAATTGAATGCAGTATTCCAAAGAATTGCAAGGAGAGATAAGAGAGCCTTCTTAAGTGAACGTTGCAAAGATAGAGAGGAAAACAATGGAATGGGAAAGACTAGAGTTCTCTTTAGAAAATTAGAGATACCAAGGGAAAAATTTCATGCAAAAATGGTCACAATAAAAGACAGAAACTAACAGAAGCAGAACAGATTAAGAAGAGGTGGCAAGAATACACAGTAAATATACAAATAAGGTCTTAATGACTCGAATAACCATTTTGGTGTGGTCACTCACCTAGAGTCAGACATCCTGGAGTGTGAAGTAAAGTCGATTTTAGGAAGCATTAGCTTGAACAAAGCTAGTGGAACTGATGGAAAATCCTAAAAGATGGTGCTGTTATAGTGCTGCACTCAATATGCCAGCAAATCTGGAAAACTCATCAGTAGCCACAGGACTGGAAAAGGTCAGTTTTCATTCCAATCCCAAAGAAAGGCAAGGCCAAAGAATTTTCAAACTACAGCACAATTACACTCATCTCACATACTAGCAAAGTAATGCTCAAAATCCTCCAAGCCAGACTTCAACAGTATGTGAACCATGAACTTCCAGATGTTCAAGCTGGATTTACAAAAGACAGAGGAAACAGAGATCAAATTGCCAACATCCATTGGATCATAGAAAAAGCAAGAGAGTTCCAGAGAAACATCTACTTCTGCTTTATTGACTATGCCAAAACCTTTGACTGTGTGGATCACAAAAAACTATGGAAAATTCTTAAAGAGATGGGAATACTAGACCACCTTACCTGTCTCCTGAAAAATCTGTATGCAGCTCAAGAAGCAACAGTTAGAACAAGACATGAAAAAACAGGCTGGTTCCAAATTGGGAAAGGAGTACATCAAGGCTGTATATTGTCACTCTGCTTATATAACTTAAATGCAGAATACATGATGCAAAATGCTGGGCTGGATGAAGCACAAGCTGGAATCAAGCTTGCTGGGAGAAATATCAATAACCACCCTCATGGCAGAAAGTGAAGAACTAAAGAGCCTCTTTAGTTTAATTTTTCTGAAATAAGCTTAGAAACATTATGAAAATAAAACTGTTGTATATTATCAATATCAGTTTTTACAGATTTAAAAACTTCTAGCCAGTGATTTTTTTTTTTTAATTTTGACTCAATTTTTGAAAATTTTATGATGAACTATGTATTTAGAAACCACCATTCTGGTTAAAATAATTTTCTTTTTCTGTGTGTGTAGGGTCAGTCAATTGCATAATCCGACTTTGCAGGCCCTACCAAATGAAGATGAAAATGAAGACACAAATCAGAATATGAATGTCCCTAGAAATTTTGAGAGAACATATTCTTCCTCCAACTTGAGTAAACGCTCTAATATTACATTTAATACTGGGGTGAGCAACTTCACTAAGAATATAATATTTGTATATATTTGTATGGGATAAAAGTTATAATATTTCATTTTAATATTGAATTAAAAGTAAAGTTTGAGTTCTTAGCCAAAGAAATCCAGGTAAGGAGTAGTATGTAAAACAATTCACCTAGTTTTTAAATTCAAAAGTAAAATATGATAGTAGAAATTAGATTTTTACTCTTCCCATTATTATTCCTCAGAGTCACTTATCACAGTTTTGAATTGTTAGTCCATTCAGAGTTGAGAAAGTTTCTTATAAAAGTTAACACTATTCATGTACGTAAAACTATTTAAATGTATGGATTGAAATGAATTGATATTTCCTAGTGAACTATTTACTCCCAATTCAGTGTCTTTCTTCATTACCATGGGAAATTCCACTGGACTGACAAGCATTTCTTTCCTTGTTCTCTGAACTAAATACTCCTTACAGTCTTCCCCCAAAACATGAGGGATTCTGATGTGGAAGATATGTTTCTCAGAGTTGCCCATAAGCATACTTTCACTGAGGGGGCTGATGAGTCAGCTGTGAAGCAGAGTTGATATTGTACAACTAACATGTGGAATTTTGAACCAGAGAGAAGTGGAATTCCTGCTCTATTCACTAGTTATTTGACTTTAAACAAATTATTTAACATATCTGTGCTTTAATTTAATTCTCTGTGAGACATTTTAATGAGTTAACACCATGTAAAATATGACCTTTGGAATGTTTGCCATGAATTGGATACTTTAAAATGTAATTTTCCTCTTCTCCTTGCTTGCACATTTCTGCTATATCACTCTTCTTTATTTCCCCCTTCTTATAAAGATGCAGACAATGAAAGATTTGCAGAATAGTCTAGAAAAATTGATTCTTGTATTAATATATGCTGTCATCCTAGAAATATATCTAAATATATCTAAAAGTCAGAAAACAATGTGAGAAAGAATCCTTCTAAACTTTACCTTATTTCCAATCAGTGACAACATCTAAATGCTAATTGTCTCATTCAGAAAATACTGATTGATGGGACTTCCCTGGTGGTCAGAGGCTAAGAATTTAGAAATATTATGATTTAATATTGGCTAAGAAAGATAGATGTGATGTTCCCCTGGTCAGAGACACCATGAATGTGTTAGTGATCCTTTTGAGGTTTTCAGTGTAATTAGATGGAAGCCTTAATCCCTGCATTCAACACATTATATAAATAAGAAGTCTTGTTTGTCACCTAGTCTGTGAACTATGGTTATGTTCTGTTCAAGGGTATATTTATAAAATTGTTTCCATCCTCTATCATAAGATTAAAATATTAATGAATTTCATTAAATGTTATGACCATTGTGATGCTATAATGCCACCTTCTGTCTTGTCAGTGGACTCTTTACAGTCAGCAGTTCTTTGCCATGTTCATAAAAAGAGCAATGTTCTCGTGGCGCAACTGGAATTTGATCTTGCTGCAGATACTAGCATTCGTGGGTATTTTTTATTTTTTGATGAGCGATGTGGAGATTTCAATAAGTGAAGAAAAACTTGACAGAGAAATGGATTTGGAACAATATGGTCAAACAATTGTGCCCTTCTCAATTTCTGGAAATTCTGAGTTTACCATGAATTTCACAAAAAATCTTGAGATCTTTCTAAAGGCTAAGAAACAGAAACTTCATAAAGTAAACGGTAAGCCTCTTAAAAAAAAAAAAAAAGACTGCTAGTAGATAAAGACCTGATTGTGTTCTTCCAAAAAAGGTCTTAACTGAAATATTTAGTTACTTGCTATTTTTTTTCTTGATAGTCTCATAAAGATAACTAAACCAGATGCAAGAACAATCAGCTGAAATTACTGGCTACAAAAGTTAATTATTAATGGAGGTGCTGGAGTATGGGTCATCTACCAGCCATTTCCTACACCTTCTAAGTGAAAGTGAGTGAGAGTCACTCAGTCGTGTCCAACTCTCTGTGACCCTATGGACTGTACAGTCCATGGAATTCTCTAGGCCAGAATACTGTAGTGGATAACCTTTCCCTTCTCCAGGGGATCTTCCCAACCCAGGGATCAAACCCAGGTCTCCTGCATTGCAGGCAGATTCTTTACCAACTGAGCTATCAAGGAAGCCCTCACCTTCTAAGGAATGGACTCAAGTACCAGAATATTTTCTTTTGTGAAATGTAGCACAGAATTTCACAGAAAGCCAGTCTTACAGTGTGGTATGATGGTCCTAAATCCTGAAAGACTCCTCATAACATATGTATCTAGATTGGCCATATCTAAAAATGGGTAAACAGGTATGGCTGGAAGCTTTATGGGCAGGCTACTCAGAACTTATTTACTTATAAAGTAGTAGTGGTAACTGATTATATGTACTGAATACGTACTTTTGGCAAGAACTTTTCTAAGTATTTGCATTGTCTATACCTATAACAATAACATTTGCTAAAGTTTGGGACACTAAGGTTTGGAGATGTTAATTCATGCACCCCAATTGCATGCACCTAGTATGTATTAGAGGAGGGATTAGATTTTAAGAGATTGCAGTATTAACTCACACTATGCTAGATCATCCCAGTAAGAGGCAAGTCTGTCCTTTTACAAAACTGACCATTTCCTTCCAGGTACTTCATTTGTATTTCCTTCAGCTGCTATCTGGTTAACAGTGTTACTTCATGTTAGCATATAACCTATGCAGTTTAGCAAGTTTATCTTTTAGGTTCTATTGTGAGAGGTGAAAGTGCATTCAGAGATGTTGGTGAATTCTACCATTATCTTGATTGTATGTTGATAAACATCATAGGTTGGGTGGCATAAAACCTATAAGTAAATCATACATTTTTTTCTCCTCCATTACTGGATGACTAAATGAACACTTATTAATAAAAAATGACACAGTTGTTTAGAAGAGAAGAGGGAAGAGAGACAGAAAATAAATTTACCTGATTCAAAATGCCGTTCTTTTTCACTACATTATATTGTTGATACAAAAATTAAAAGACTATATTTCAGAGATAAGTTAATAATAAGACAATCAAATTAAATCTTCCTTCTTGTTAGTTCTTTTAGCATCTTGCTGTGCTATGGTTAGTTGCTCAGTCATGTCCGACTCTTTGTGACCCCAGGGACTGTAGCCCACCATGCTCCTCTGTCCATGGGGATTCTCCAAGCAAGAATACTGGAGTAGGTGTCCATGCCCTTCTCCAGGGGATCTTCCCAACCCAGGGATTGAACCCAGGTCTCCCATACTGCAGGCAGATTCTTTACTGCCTGAGTCACTAGAAAAGCCCTAGCATCCTGCTGTTGTCTTAATTAAAAATTATTCGAGCAGCTCTTTGAGAAAATTAGTAGGCTAAGAAACCTCAAATTGTTCTATAGAAATAGCTAGTTAAACACACACACACACACACACACACACACACACACACACACACAGATTAGCTAAAATAGCTTCATATAGAAACTGGTGAAGGGTCTGCAACAATCAAGTGAATGCCCAGTCAAAAAAGCCACATGCAAACTGTAAGGGTATCTGTGGTGTTTTTGCTTATCTTTACACCATCACCCTCTCTGGGACAGTACACTGAGTTAGTAGAAAGCTATGCATTTACTGGTTGCTCCTATGGGGTGAAAAGAGTAGAATTTTTTCAATATTCAGGCCAATTTGAGAACTGTGCAAAGAACTGAATTTGTTTTACTTAACTCAGAGCTCAAGTGAGAACAGTGCCATAGTTTGGATATTATATTAAAGTTGCTGAAAGTACTGACAGATGCCAAGATATGAAAACTACAAGGGGGACTGCAGACATACAGGCACCAGGGACAAGATACTATGGGTATCACAATACAGTAGAATATCTAAGGTCCCAAAAGGGAACAAAGGTAAAATTCATAGGGATATTAATATATTTAAAAGCAGCCATAAATAGTGAAGAGATGAAGGAAAAACATATACATAGGTCCAGGGTATATATATGCCCAGAAATGTTCTGAGAAAAATTGAACCTTTATGCCAGACAGATTAGTAAATTCTCTCTATGCTGAGATATAATCTGCAAAGACTAGGATAGCAACTTTTTTCAAATCCCAAATGTAAAAAAAAAAAAAAAAACACATGCTATACAAGTAAACAGGGACACGCTCCATTCAACCAACTCTAAAGAAACACAAGCTTTGGATTTATGGGACAAACTTTAACTCTTAAATATGTTCACTAAGTTAAAGGAAACATGAGCAAAATACTGAAGTAAGTCAAGAAAACCATATATGGTAAGAATATCAGCAAAGATAGAAAATTTTAAAAGAATCAAACAAAAATTCTGAAGCTAAAAAATACAAAACTGAATTGAAAACTGCACCATAGGAATTCATCAGCAGACTTAAGCAGGAAGAGGAAAAGTCAGCAAATGTGAAGACATACTATTTGAAGCTATTGAGTTTGAGGAGCAGAAAAAAGGTGGGGGGGGAGAAAACTGAACAGAATCTAATGGAATTATGATACAATATAAAACAGACCAAGCTACACATTCTGGAAATCCTAGAAGGCAACGAAGAAAGGGACATAGAACTTACTTGAAAAAGCAAAACTGAAAATTTTCCAAATTTGAGGAAAGACTTGGATATGCTAATACAAGAAGCTCAATAGACTCCATGTAGGACAACCAGAGAGAGATCCACAGTGAGACACATT